GAGAGGGAGGAGGAAGAAGAGGAAGAGGGGGAGGAAGAGGATGAAGGAAAGAAGGGAGGGGGAGCCGCTCGTCCGTTTGAGATGTTAGAGAGAAGAGCCCAGACCTGGTCATCCAACTGCTTGACACCACCCTGGAATCCACGGTCACAGTTACACTCCCAGACACAGGATGTCATTCACTGTTACACCACAAACATGCTGGCTCTCATGTCTCCTACTGTCTGAGTTAATGATTCCTGAACACCTCCACCTCCACCTCCACCTCCATGCACTGATGTCACCAGGGTTAGTCAACGTGATAAGAACGCACTCAGCGGCCACTTCGTAAGGAACATCTGTTACACTGCTTGTTAAAGGAGGTCACACTGTGAGAGGATGAAGGTGAATGACTACCCATGCTGACAACTTCACACACACACACACTCACACACACACATTGAACACTGATTCTGCCCAGTGACCTTTCATTAACCTAAAATTATCTATGTACCTCCTGCAGCTACGGTGAGTCAAAAAGTTCTTGATAATTGAAGAAAACTCTTTGCTTTTGACATGTATATATATATATATATATGTATATATATATATATAAAACCTACATCCTCATCAACAATTGTAAATATATTTTTTCTTACTTTCAATAAACTAAAAGTTTTTTATCTGCCTTGGGTTCCGTCCAACAGTGAAGCACAGAAACAGGTCATGACCAGGTGAGAAAAAAACATCCCCCAGAATTCTCCAAAGGAAACACTACTTGCAGAAGTGTTGAAACTTAAAAGCTGAAACTTGTGAAGATAAATAGCTTTGTTGTTCCATGAATATTTTTCTTGCTGTTTTTCTACGCCCATTTGACTCACCCAAGTGTTCCAACAAATGCCTCCCCCGGCCCCTTTATTCTAATAGATTAGTCGGTGCCAGAGTGAAGTGCGATACACTTCTGCCCACAGTCGGTCTAAACACCTGAGCATCACTTAGATCTGTAGACTTTATGTTCTGAGGCCATCGTGTTCCAAACATCCTCCCCGCTCTGATCCTCGGGGCAAGTACGATCTACTCTATTGATGTGGAAGAAGCAGGCTCTTTGATCACTTCACTTATCACCGAGGTGATGGTATTTGGGAGTGTGTTGGCAGTGTTACTGGAGCAAAGGTAAAGCTCCAAGAAGCTCCTCAACAGACCATTAATCACCGATCCATTTCCTGTGCTCTCATGATAACAGGCAGAGAAACAGTTTGCTCCGGATACGCAATTAGCACCGAGGCAAAAACAAACATTCAAACTTCAATGAAAACCCAGCTGTGAACATGTCATGCCTTGAAAATGAAACTCCAGGCCATAAAAAATATTAGGGGGCAACAGGGCAGGAAATTGAATTTTTCACCGGGGGCATTTACTCGGACAACTTCACAACAAACTGTGTTTTCTACAAACATGTAGTACTTTTACTTTTTAAACTTTAGCTAATGGGTTAATATATATATACACATAAATATATACATACATACATATATTTATATATATGGGTTTATATGTAAGTGTATTTATATGCACTGAACAACCTAACACCCATTATATAAAATGCCACATCAAAGCTGTATGTCTATAGACATGCCAGACACCATTCCACACATCAAACCACCAGTCCACTGGCCGACTGCAGTACTGTACCTGTTTGGCCCTTTTCATGCGAGTAGAGTAAGAACCTTTCTAAAAGGTGTCAAAAAGAGTAAAAAAAAAGAAGAAGAAGAAACATCGAGTGGGAGTAAAAAAAGAAGAAGAAGAAACATCGAGTTTTCGCACAGATACATAAAGGAATCTACTGAGAAAAGGTATCTAAAAAAACGCAGAATGAGAGGGAGTTTGAAGAGGGAATAAAGAGCAAAACAACACAGTGACAGAGAAAGAATGGTCTACAGGTTTCTGGTTCGTGCTGCAAAGCCCCTGAATGCAGCACTACTGGGATGCGTTCATGTTTTGGTTCCTTCCACTGACTTCTTTGTCAGTTGTTGTCTGTCTGGGAAACTGACCTTATCTCCTTGGTAGGCTCCTGGTAGCTGCCAGAAGTGAGGTTCCTGTCCCAGGTAGTCAAAGTTGCTGTAGGACAACTGAGTGCCTTCAGTGGAAACCTCCACGGTGAAGCCAGTGGTGAGGCGGTTGGAGCGCTGACGGTTCACCAGAGCGAATCCTTTGAAGTTCCCTGGAGTAAAGACTGACGACACCTGCAAAAGCACAAAGTGTCACCGAGCAGTAATCATATTTGCAGAACAAAAATATCATTTTAAAAGAAGAGACAAAAAAACCTGTGTTTTAAATATGATCCACAGAGAGCAGTAGAGCTACTGAGAAGTTTTTATTTATTTTTTTCAGACCTGGGACCGCTCACAGATGGAACCCAGACTTCCCTCAGTTCAGATTTAGCACTTCTTTACTCGGTCACACTAACTTGTGGAGAGGCTACCGCTACCGGCTACTGCTCTGCTGCTTAATCCAGTGCAAACTTGCAATTAGCTTGTTGCGGTGTGGTTTGAACGTGTCCTTGAAGTTCAGGACATGGCAAGAGTCCTTTATCATTAACTCGCTGCAGTGACTTTCAGGCCTTACCAGGTCTCGGTAGTAAGTGGAGCTGGAGCACTGCTGAGTGACGCCCATGCAGAAACAGGACAGGCAGCCATCTTTGTTTTCTTGGCTCAGATGGAAGGTTCCTGACTTGCAGCTGGAGCAAGAAGGACCTTCAACGTTCATCTGTAAACCCATGTCAGTTTTAGGGCAACCAGACATTTGAATGCAACCTCTGAGTCAGAGTTAATTAAAAAAAAACAACTATCTGAGTTCATCACCTTGCAGCGACACTCCAGACCACTGCAGGATTCTCGACCTCTGGGGTCACATTGATAGCAGTTACCTGAACCAGAAATGTGAAGACAATACTTTAGTATGCGCTAAACCTTAGGTCAATGCAAAAAAAAAAAGTCCTTTAAACATTATTCGTGATCTTGAAGTCCACAGATTGTAATACGAACGAACCATTGACTTCATTTCCAACAGTACATCTTTGTCCCAGCTGTGGGTTCCCAGTGTATCCAGCAGCACATCTGAAATAAAAATAATGGAGTGTGTTTGTTTAAGTAAACAAGAAGGAGGTGAAAAGTTGTACGTAACAAAAATAGGAAGGAGGCAGAGAAAACTGCAAGAGTTGATGGATCAGATTCCTTTTCTCTAAACACAAAGCAAACACCGATACACATAAACAAAGATTGACTCGGCTACCAGACACATAAAACTGTACTGCAGTTGTAACCAAAAAAAATAAACAGCAAACGCCCATCAGTTTGCAGGACCTCAACTTCAGTTTCTACGCATTTGACTGCAGACAAAAAAGATTTCCCTGGAGAAAAAGTAGAAGCCTTGCTTCCAGCAGAGATGGATGAAGCAGAAGAATTCAACATTCAACCCTGATGTTGAATCCATTTCTCTTGTGAAACACCTTCGAACAGGAACACAAGATTTGAACATCAACGGAAGAAAATGGGAGTCAGAAAATATCACCAGGCTTTCAAACTAAATTAACACTTACAGGAGAAAATTTTCCAGAACTTTGTGAAAGAGAGCACAGACGATTACAGGAGCACCAGATGAGGAGGCTCAAGCTGCGGCAGAGGACAGTTAATCCTTCAACCCAAGTGAAATACTCCCCTGTCACCAGAGCAAAGGCTTATTCAACATCCATGTACAGCTGCTGTCAGTCTTACCTCACCTGTCGAGGTCCACGGGTCAACTGCCAACAAAGAGGACTTCCTGCCTTGAACACTATTATATTACAAGAAAATCCCGTTTCTACTAACTTCTCAGACGATGAAAAGTTCTTCTAGCCCCAGTTACTATGTCAGTCTTTCCTGTCGGTGTTTGACAGATCCACAATTGTCCATGCGAGTTAAGTACAGACTTTAGCCTCAGTTACTACGTCAGTCTTTCCTGTCAGTGTTTGACAGATCCACAGATATAATTGTCCATGCGAGTTAAGTACAGACTTTGGGACAATATAATGTTTATAACCAGCAAAGAATAGAAAGCTTTTAATTACACACGAAAAACACATCATGAAAAAAAACTTAAAAAATACATTTTGTATTGCATTTGTATTCTAACTGATAAATGTATCACCATTCATAACAATCATTAAAATCTATTTCCAGTTTTGATTCAATGCTTGGAATGTTTGGTATAAAACGTAAAGTACTCACAAGTCTTTATCGTTGCCGCAAAATATCAAATGCTTAAGTATCGAATGAGTAGCTAAAAATTAGGGATGGCTCAATCTGATACCAAAGATCGGTAACAACTACTGTATAGCCTGTCCGACCAGATACCTGAGCGCAAATGCTTAACTTAACTTAACTTAGCACAATAGGAACAACGTCGCCTCAGCAAAGGCAGCCTGAGGAATGATGGAGGAGGAAAGAAGGTATCGGATTGAAATCTGTATCGGCAGAAACTCTAGGGTGCACTATTGGTATCGTACATGAAAAAGTTGTATCGAGCCATTCCTACTTAAAATCACTGTATATTGAGGGAAATTATTATTTATTATTTACTTATTATTAGGGAACTTATTATTATTATGAACTGTATCGGTGATGTTCTAGAACAATCTCATGTCTCTTACGGAGTTTTACATACTGTAGATGAAAGACTTTTCTTGAACACCACAACATATAATACGCTGATGACACAGACATGTGGAAGCAGCAAAAAGGCATCATTTAAATCAGTTCTTACTGCAGTCTCAAAAGTTGAGGTAGCGTAGCATTAAAAAACATAGACACATGTTTATACATGAGGTACTACAGACAGGTAATATCTTCACGAGAGGTCGTTGTGCAAATAGTAATAACATCAATCCAACAATTGAAACATACAATTTCAAAACCCATCAACACCGAGTCATACAATTTCAAAACCCATCAACACCCAGCACGACAATTGACAAACAAAGGCAATGCAATTGTAAGAACACCCTTAAGGTCTCCAAACTTGTCCCTTCATAGTTTCCATTCCAACACATAAATATAAAAATCAGAGCCTTGCAACATAAACATGTCTGAGAACACGGACACAGCATTCTCTAGTCATCAGGAATGATTTTGATAGGAATGGCCAGCCTTCCCAAGACAACGTGAAGAGAACCATCTTGACTTTTTTTGTGTTTACCCGAATTCTGCTCACCCTTGAGGAGCCTCAGTAGGTCCAAAACACCTGAATGGGAGTTTGTCTTCTTTTTCTGGAACGGTTTTTTAGTCACTTTCTTTGCAGTGGTGCCCTTGGTTTTAGAGTGAGTCGATGTCCGTTTGACGGTCGTTGTTGTTGTTGTTGATGTCGTGTACTTTTTCTTCGCAGTAGACGCCTTGTTTTTAGTGGGAGATGTTGTTGGCTTTACTGTGGTTGTTGATGTCGTATACTTTTTCTTTGGAGTGGAAGCCTTGTTTTTGGTAGGAGATGGTGTTGGTTTTGCTTTCGTTGTTGTAAACTTTTTCTTTGGAGTACTAACCTTGGTTTTAGTAGGACTTGCGGTTTTTGCTGTTGTTTTTATAGGTTTCTTTGTCGTGGTAGACTTTGTCTTCTTAGTAGATTTCATGGTCGTGGTAGGGGTTGTGGCTGTGGGATTTTTGCCCCTAGTATTTACCGAGTTGCTTCCTAGTTTTTTCTCATTCTGTTGTGAATTACTCCTGTGAGGTTTGGGGAAACTTTTCGATTTAACATCTGAAGGATTTCCATTCTCATGAGATGAATCTGATCTCAGAACCTTCTTATGAACATTAGTCTTTACAGGAAGACTAGAACCTTTTCCGGCAGCCTGGTCCGATTGTTTGTGCAGCTGAGGACCTCTAGCTGGGTTTGGTTTGTGAGCTGGAGGCTCCACTTGAAATTTAGTGATTGCTGGCTCGTCTTTGACCTGCTTTGGTTTTTTGGACTTTGGCGGTGAAACAGACCGCAGCCTATTTTTAGGTGTAATATTAGCCACCAACTTTGGTTTACTCAAAGTTGTTGTGAAGGTTTTTGTAGAACTTGTTGAGACTTCCCTTTTAGGTGACCTAGTGGCTGATTTGAAATTTGAAGTTATTTTCTTTGGCTTAGTTGTGGCTACTACTTTGAGTTTTCTATGTCTGTCTCTATGTGAGGAAGACACGGGTCTATTTACGGGAAGGTTAGGGGTGGGTATGCTTTTGGGCACGGTTGCTTTAATAGTGGGTGGAGTTTCTGTAGGTTTAAGTTGGGTCGGCGGCTCAGGTACAGAGTACTTCGGAGGTGGTAGGACTGTGGTGAGTAGAGGTAGAAACCTCCTCTCTTTGGGCGAATGGGAAACATGTCTTGTACGTTTCATCTTGTTCATCTCCTGGGCCAGGGCGGTGAAACCGTCGATTAAGATTTCTAGCCTCCCCTCTAGTCTACTCAAGCGGGACTCCATATCTGTGTATCCCTTCTCCAGTTCGTTAACCTTCTTGTTCTTCTCTGGGGCCGAATGCATGGAGATGAGCTCCATCAGCTGGGAGCTCAGGTGACCCTGATGGTCCTGCATTTGACGAATGCTCTCCTTCATATCGAGCGTGTTGCTTTCTAGCATGCTGAGGCGCTGGTTAAAGGTGTTCAGGTGGAGGCGAAGTAAGTGATGGAAGCTCAAGTGTCTGTCCTCCGCACTGGGGGTGAAACGCGATGGAAGTCTAGATGTTGGTCGATGAGGAACATTCATAGATTTGGTGGTCTCTAAAGTGTGAGGGCGAGTTTCAGTGGACAGTAAAGACCTAGTCGGGATGACAGTTGCTCCGGCAGTTGTAACAGGTGACATAAAGTCAAAGTCATCGTCGCCATCATCATTATCATTGCCACTGCCATATGGTATGATTTCTTTCTCCCAACTGAAATTGAACACTGCCTCAGCGCCACATCCCACAGGGAGGAAGCCCTCAATCTGCTTGTCCAGGAATGGGTGTCCACAACTGTCTGCAGCGGGCTTCTCTTCTCTTAACGTCAAAACAGCACAATCAGGTATGTTGCAGGAAGAGACCTTTAAATATTACACTATTTACAATGTGCAGCTTCCACCCAAGTCACCGCGTCATCTTTGCCCATGGAGTGACAAAGATTCATTAGGCAGACAGGAGTCCTCATAAATGCCACATCTACATTTATGTCATGAAGACCAAGAGAAAATACACTCCGTCTGTACACAGGGAGAAATCACATGAGCCAACAGCCTAACGATGCACTGCCAGAGAAGCACAAAGCAGAAGCAGGAAAGCAATCTGGGGGATACAGTTGGAATAAAGCAAAAGAAAGTTGGAAGCAAGAACGTAAAGCCAATAATCCCGAAGACAAATGTCATTCTTACATACAAATCGGCCTCACTTGTACTCCACAACCAAGAAAAGAAAAATCACAAATTCTCAACAATAAAGAAACCATATCTAGTTCTGCTCAACAACATTCCATCAGGTTGGAAACAACAGGACAAAGTTCAATCTTCAACCTCCCGGTCCATTCCATCTCTGACACAAACCTGCCTCAGAAAAACAAGACAAATGCACAACACGACTACAGACATGCTGAGATCACTCTCCTCTAGAGGAAAACATTGCCGGTGCCAGGCCCGTGCCAGCCCTGCTGCTGACCCCCCCCAAACACTGAGCAGTGTCCACTCAACCTTTCAGGGGAGGACAGTGTGGAAAAGTGAGAAGCAGAAAGAGGAAGAAAGGAATAAATGAAAGACCAGGAGCAGAACGTACCGTTCGCAGCGGCGGCCTGTGTATCCTTGAGGGCAGCTGTCACAGGTTGGCTGACCGTCAGAGGCCAGATAACAGGTTGGGGAAAACCTGTTGCAACAGAAGAGTCATTTCTTTTAATTTCAGAGCTCTTTGAAAATATTTGTTGTTGTTTTTATTAAGGAGTGGCAGTAAAAAACCATGTCAGACATGAACTCACTGGTTGCTGGATGCAGTTCCCGGACAGGGGCAGGGCTGGCAGGCCTGTGCACCACCTGATGCAGGGTTTCCATAATATCCAGGCTTACAGTTTTCACACCTTGGTCCATCCGTGTTATGGAGACATTGCTTTGAAATAGGACACATGCATCGGGAAGAAGATTTAAGATCCACTCCTCATGATTATACTTTCTTTAATGACTGAACAAGTTCAAACTGAGTCCAAGAAACCATTAGAACATTCCACCACAGGGTTGTGATCAAGGGGCCAACAGAGAAGATCAGAGAACTTACCAAACATCTGCCCGACTCTGGGTCACAGCTACTGGCATGACCGTGGCAGTCACACCTCTCACAAGTGCCCAGATAGAGGCCGGAGCTGGTGCGAGTGTATCCTTCATCGCACTCCTGCAACAACACACGGAAAACACCCGAGGTTAGAAACGTGTGAGTACAAGGAACAAAAAAAAGTGGGAACAGAAAAAGTGCAATTACAAAAAACCATAAATAAAAATGTCATAAAAAAAAGAGTCAAACAAGTCAAGACACAGCTACATTAACCTAAATTATTTTCTCTTTTTGAACTTATAGTTAAACGTAAACAAGAGACAGCAGTCGGGTTTGGTTACTTCATCTTATACTTGATGACTTTCCACACATTTTCTTTTGTTTTTGAGAATAAATCATTACAAAACAGGTCCAAGACACAGGCTTTTGGTCTATAAAAAGTGTTCACGATGTATAATAATAAGACTTCTTTTTTTAAAACTACTTCCACTTTGGTCTATAAAAAGTGTTCCCGATGTATAATCAGACTTCTTTTTTTTAAACTACTTCCACACCTGGCAGGAAGGTCCCTTGTATCCCTGGGGGCAGGCACACTCCTCAACTTCAAGAGCCCGTTCATTACCGGTGGAGTGAGGAAGAGCGATGTCCATCCTGATGTCTGAGATACTATCAAAAAAAACAAAACAATCGACACATAATTTAATTCAAAAACTTTTTGCAGTCGGATGGCTTGATCTTGTTGAACCAGAAAAAACTTTCAGCTTTACCTGCTCTCATCCACATTGTCTGCGTAGGTGGCTCTGATCATGAAGGCAGAAATATCAGCCAAGGCCATCAGGAGGTGCTCACGAGTGCATGGCTGCCCATCGGCTCGACGCCATGCAGACTGTAAGCCAGAGAGAAATGTTAGGTCTCATAAAGCGATGTAGGTCGACACATTTGTTTTGAAGGTGTAGGTGTATAACCAGCCCACCTCTCTGAAAACGACAGTGACGGTGTGAGGGACACGTGGCTGAGGCTTAGTCCCGGAGTAATGCTCCAGGAAGATACCGTTGCCCTGGATAACCACATCTGGCTGGCCATCAATCACCAGTGACCGGGGAGAGGGTGAGTATTGTACAGTGTAACGAAGTTCTCCTCCGTAAGCTGTCACCTGTGAGTAACAAGAGAAGAAAAAAAAAAACAAAACAGAAAAACAGTCAATGTCTTTTTCACCCACGTTGGGTTTGGCTGATAAATGAAAAGGTTCAAAGGAAGTGCGCTCTGTGGGTAAGAGCCGCCTTTTCAGCTAACATGTCGGGGCTCGACTTAGCAGGGGGGAAAAAAGCAGAGAAATCTCACTTAAAAACAACATGTCGGGGCTCGAGCAGGGGGGAAAAAAAGCAGAGAAATCTCACTTAAAAACCTAAAGCAGTTATTTCCTCTCTTATCCCTCAGCCTAGCAGTCTTTTTGTTTATTCCTCTCACCTTATCTCCCCTGAAGCTCTCAGGCAGGACCCAGTAGTAGATTTCATTGGGAATGCTGGAGAAGGAGCGGTAGACAACTTCAGAGAAACCCCTCTGAGAGATGCCATCAGAGATCGTTCTAGTGTTTCCGCTATTGGAGAGGGAGAAAAGCTGCCCGTTCACCCCTCCCTGCAACTGAGAGACAAACAGTTTGATCAGATGAGAGGTGAACAGTACGTGCTCTCAGACTTCATCAACTCCGCTCTTTCAACGAGTCAACTTTTGGCCTTTGGAAGAATTTGCTGATAGTGAACGGCACAATAAGTCAGTCAAACGTTCACGTCAGATAATATTCACCGCGCTCGTAGCCATTCACATTTTGACAAACTACCTGATGCCTATTCCAAGTAGAGCTGGAACACTGCTTGGTGACGCCCATGCAGAAGCAGCGTAGACAACCCTCGGGGTTGGCCTCTGATAGGTGGAAGAACCCGGCTTTGCACTCGTCGCACAGAGCGCCTGCCACGTTGTTCTGTAACACACACACACACACGTAGACACATGCACATGTGCAATCCATCTGCCTGTCAGGATGAGTTCCTAAATAAAATACGGGCCCGTGGACCATAAACGATCTGCAGGTTTAACAGCTGCTGTTAACGACAGAATGCTAGTATCTGACTTTACAGTTTGCATCTATACCTTGCAGCTGCAGGGGCTGCTGGAGCTGGAGGTTCCTCTCTTATCACAGGTGGAGCTTTCTGCAGGAGGGGGAAGCAGGGGAGAGAAGATGTCACTGAGGGGAGGAGGGGGGAAGGCAAACGTGGGAGTGTAACAGCCAGGGTGAATACCTGAAGTATGACTACAGCCCTCTGGTAATCATTAAACAGGGTTAAAAGCCACTTTATAATCGAGCTAACAGCGACTGAATCGTACGACAGGTAAAACACAACCAGGTGCAGCTCATGTCCACTTTTAAAGTACAAGTAAGTGCAGTTTTTTTCAACCATACTTACGGTTGGGAATGCATTTTCCGCTGGGCAGGAGGGGGTTACCGTGGTAACCAGGAGCACATCTGACAAATATAAATAAGATTATGAAATAGGAGTGGCAGAAAGAGTGATCTTATGAATGAACGTCACCTAATTCTCATCTAAAAAAACCTCATGAATGTAAAACGTCACCTAATTCTCATCTAAAAAAAACATTTAAACTTTAATCAAATGGAAAAAAGTGAAAAGAGTTTTCTCACTTTTCACAGCGTCTGCCTGTATAGCCGGGCCTGCAGGCGTCACACGTTGGCTGCTGGTCAACGTCGAGGAAGCAGGTGTCGGAGAACCTGGAGAGAGACCACGACGGTGAATGAAAATCAAATATTTACAATGGCAGCTTAGTCAGCCAGTGGGCAGGGGCAGGAATATCTCCATGAGGTCAGAATGATCAAAAATAATCCATTCTGTCACTGATGAAGCCTGTGGGTGGGGCGTTAGTTTTACCGGCGTGAAGTTTCATAGTATTCTCGGCGTTTTACCGGCGTGAAGTTTCATAGTATGGGCAGGGGCAGGGCTTGCAGTCATCTGAGCGACCTCGACTCGGGTCACCAAAGTATCCAGGGCGGCACTTATCACACTGTGGCCCCTCTGTGTTGTGCTGGCAGCTCTGTGGAAAGAAGTAAATACTCGTCATTCCCCTGCAGATTCTGGATACCCTGAGGGCTACGTTTGACAGCTTCGATGAGGTCGATAAAACGTATAACTTTAAATCAGACAAATCAGACAAAAAGCCACAGATAAGTGATGAAATTTTGTTATATTTGTATTGTAATATTTGTTCAGCTTCATTTGAATGATCACCATACAATAAAAATAAAACCATAAAACTCCTCGCCATAAAACTCCTCGCACATATTTGAAATGGTTAAAAAAGAATTACCAGACAGTGTCCGTTGACTGGGTGACACATATTTGAAATGGTTAAAAAATAATTACCAGACAGTGTCCGTTGACTGGGTCACAGGCGCTGGCGTGTCCATTACAGTTACATCCAGCGCACGTGCCCAGAAACTGGCCGGGCTTGCGTTCAAAGCCAGCAGCGCACAAGTGACAGGACAGGCCCGAGTATCCAGGAGGACATCTGAGGAAATGGTTCATGTAAATAAATGGGTCATCTCAAATTAGGAGTGTTTACATACAGTGTTTGCTATATATGCCGATGATACTTTATTTATTTTTGTGCACGTAAAGTTAAGTAACTGTAAAACTTAACTTTTAAGCTAAAAAACGCACACCATCCCTGAATGTATTTTGCTACAAAATACAGACACACATGATACGCCTAAAAAGTCTGTATGGACGACAGGGGGCGCTTACCTGCACTCCTCAACGTCCTTAGCGTGACCCTGAGTCGTGAACTCTACCGAAGTGGTATCCATGATGATGTCGCTGAGCGCCACACTGACCATGTGGTCATCATATATGGTGCGGATGCGGATGCTCTCCAAGTCAGACAGGGTCATCATCAGGTCTTCTCTAGTTACGCTGCGACCATTGGAGTACTGCCAAAAGTCCTACAAGGACAGCAGGTGATTAGCTTCAGTCATACGTGTGGTAGGGTTAATTAATTAGAGACATAAAAACATCATTTTTTAAATTTTTTTAATTCATTAATTTTTATTTTTTCCACCAGTGCAACAACCAACCTCTGTGAATTTGATGTCTTTCTGGTTGACCACTTGAGGGGAGGTGGTGCTGCCTCTGCGGGACACAAGCATGCGTCCATTTCCGACCAGTACCACGTCTGGCTTCTCCACAAGGTCCGAAAGACCTCGGGTCAGCGTGTACCGCACCTTGTACTTCAGAGAGCCTCCGTAGGAGTCGACCTATGAACCAAAGATTCTCATTACTAAGTTGGATTTAAGTGTAAATGTTTTATTTAAAAAATAATAATTAACTCATTACCTTGTTACCCAAAAACTGTCGTGGCAAAACCCAGAAGGAGTCGATGTTGAGGAAACGACGAGACAGGTCGACAAGTTGAAACTCCTCCATTTCTGGGTTGATGAGGAGCTGAGTGGAGGAGAGAGGAGGAGTGCCTGGTCTGGATGGATACGTTACATTTACTCCTGAAAGCAGAGATAACAGACTCGCTCACTCACATGGCCGTCACGTGTGACCCACACAGCTGAACCCTGTCAGTTTGAACAAGTCATTGTTTGTATTGCCTTTGTAATCCTCCTCGTCGGTGAAACGCAGGGTGATTCTGTTGCGGTAGCGACCGGTGCTCTTGCAGTTCTTGGAGACCCCAGCGCAGAAGCACGACACGCAGCGGCCGTCCACGCTGAAGTGACCGTCGGGACAATCACCTGACGATAACAACAGTTTCTTTTTATTTCACCTATTCTATTTTTACACTGACTAAAATGTCTTTTTTTCTGTTTATGAACCGTGGTGACTGTACCTGGGTTGGTATTGGTGATGAGGGTGAGAACTCCGTCAGGGATACCGAACACCAGGCCTTTGGCATTGATGGCCTCGCAGGTGTAGGCGCCCTGATCCGCCTCTTTCACGTCGCGGATGGTGAGTGTGCCGCGGCCGTTCTCACTGATCATACTGACCCTGGAAACACAGGAGAAATATACACAAGTATATCAACTCTGATATATATTTATAAGTATATAAACTGTGAAGGCTTAATCCAACACACACTCCAGGACACGCCCAGAATAAACATTCTGAAATTATAAACTGTGATTGCTTAATCCAACACACACTCCGGGACACGCCCAGAATAAACATTCTGAAACAGGAACGTGCAGTGTAGAAGTACGCCACAAAAATCTGGGTAATTAGAGTCAGACTCTAAACAAACAATACCGTTATATCAGTGTTTCACAAACCATTTTTCTGGGGACCCATATTTTCAAAGTCACAAACCTTCGCGACCCAAGTCAATAGACATTATCTGTAAACTTCTGTCAAACATGATATGAGGACTCTCTGCTAACCGCTACATTATAAACCCAAGATTAAAATCTTCTACAAAGTGTAATTTTGTGTGTTTTTTGTCCTCTGTAACACCCTTATATTAATAAACATCCCACAGCTATCAAAGACAATAGAGTGGATTTTCTTGTCTTAACGTTTTTTCGTTTTCAAAATCTGACAAGTTTTAAAATTCTCACATCTTAAAGGACCTCCCATTGTCGATCTACACAAAAGAAATTGACTGAAGGGAATTATAGGTATTTTTAATTATGGTGAAAAAGTCCAGAGAGAAACAAATGGAAAGAACAGAATGATTTAGTCTAATGGTTTGGTTCTTGCTGCTTCAACAGATGATGATTTAATCACCAGCAGAAGGAAGACAAAACCCAGTTGCATGGTTAAAACCGTCAGACCGCCTGCAGCTGTGATTTGCGCTCTTGTGCTGACACGAGAGACTGTTCTGATGAATGAGCTTTTCAATAGAACGCTGATGATTACAATTCACCAGGGTTTGGTTTTTTTTCTCTCTTCAAACCAACCTGCCGCTGGTGGGGATGTGTCCCCAGTTCAGCCTCCAAGAAATGATGGGCGTTGGCACTCCAACAGCCTGACAGGTAAACGTTACCGTCGCCCCGCGAGCCGCCTCCTTGGACTCTTCTGGTGGACTTGTCACAGTAGGAGGCGCTGAGGAGAGGAGTTGATAAATCGCATGTTAATGTATATGTGGATCAAATGACGTGTCAGAAAGAATGCTGAGAAAGTTGACGGCTGTCGGTCTGAGACTTACTGCAGCCATATTCATCCGAGCGGTCGGGGCAGTCGGGCTCTTCATCGCACTGATAACTGGCTGGGATGCAGGTACGATCGCTCAGGCACTCAAACTGCTCAGGAGCACATCTGTCACTCGGACCTTTGGTGGCTGCAGTGACGGGAACAATGGGAGATTCACAGCAGAGGTTGATAAACACTGGGATTACACTGATTTAGAAAGTGATTACTGCAAATGTTTTTAACTCACGGCAGTCGGTCTCATCCGAGCTGTCTTCACAGTCGTTGTCTCCGTCACAGCGCCAAAGCTTGAGAGCGCAGCGACCGTTCTTACACTTGAACTCATTGGGTTCACATGGAGATGGAGTTCCTGCAGGACGAGGGACGATGAATTGATTGTTTTTGGAAACTTAGAAAATTAACTCTGCAGTGCAGATGTTTCACTGACCCAACATGTTTTTTTTTTTAAACAATTAAATATTGTTCAATACAAAGTTGCTTCATTTATCATTGCTGTAAGTCAATAGCTTCAACCAAATCAATAAAATGCAACAGTTTCAAAACACACTTGTAATGTGTGTTATATATTATGTGTTGTTGTCATCTGGTGGATATGCAACATATTAACTCCAATGTTTTAGCTGCGTAAATTCTCACAAAAATTATCATCTGGATAAAGGAAAGAAAGCGCAATATTTGTCATTGTGCCACAGCACACAATGGAAATGTGACTTCTGCTTTTAAGTGAGCGGGGGGGGGGAAACTCCCAGGGAGCAGTGTGTGGGGACGACGTTAGTGGTAACTTGGCAGCTGGTGGACTTGAACCTAAAACCTTCCAGGCCCAACTCTGCTTCCTTAACCCCTAAGCCACCGCTGCCTGAACAGAATGGAAGAAGAAACATTAACCAGCAGGAGAATCTATAGCGGATCCTGACGTGGGCGGGGCACCTGGACCAAGAATGCAGGAAGCAGGAAACCGGCCAAATAACTCCGTGTGGGTTTTCCAGGGTCACTGCTGCAGACACTGACCCGACAACCGTGGGCAGCAGGAAAGGGGGGTCGCTGCTGTATCTCCAGTAGGATGTGGGGGGCGGGGGTTGTGTTCACACATATGTGTTTGCCATCTGCTAGCTATCTTACCACATCTGTACTCATCGCTTCCGTCTGAGCAGTCCCTCTCTCCGTCGCAGATATAGTCCCGTGGGATACACTCTCCACTCTGACACGTGGCCTGGTCGGCTCTACAGGGACCCGGTGGGCTGTAAGGTCGAGGGGGCTTCCTGGAGGTGGTCGTCGTGGTGGGAGGTGTGGTGTGGACCCGAGGGACCGGCAACTCTACAACAGACCTCAGATTTAATCTCAGCGAACGTACAGCTGTGTCTGTGATTTTGTCGACCGTCACCAAGACAGGAGTCTGTGCTGTTAGAACGAGCCGGCAAAGGGGGCTCCACGTCACTCACCACAGTTGTTCTCATCACTCATGTCTCTGCAGTCTGGTCGATTGTCACACAGGTATTCCATCAGGATACATGTGCCATCGCCACACCTGTGCTCATCGGGCATGCAGGGCCTGATGTTGGGGGTTACTGTGAGAAATGCAGAAGGGAGGGGCGAGGGAGTCACAGACATGCAAGCCAAGGCTGAAACCACGGCCCAAAACCACACCGATGTCACATCACTGCAAAAATACATCAACTCATCAACCAAACCAATGAGTGTTTTAATGTCGAACCACAGCAGGTGCAGCTCAGGCCTGTGGTGGAGACTATCACTACGGCAGCGCTTCAGGAATCAAACGAGATTAATAATAAATATATTTGGATTTTCAGTTGATTTCTGTGCAGAGTTCATTAAGACAGACTCAACAGAGGGAGCT